TCGACAGACTCTAGTTGCTTTCATGGGCGCACTTCACCGTTTTAAAATGAATTAAGTCAAAGAGTGTTTTCCCCCGTCAAGCTTGTCAAAAAAAGCTGCACCCTTTGTTTTAGTTCTCTGATGTGTAAGAACATTTTTGGAATTATAATTCCATTGCTATACTTGGGGAACCAAATCGATTTTTTGAGTGCATGATTCATTATTTTTTTCATGTGCAAATCGCGTGTGAAGAAAACAGTATTGAAAAGTCCTCACCCCAAATCTGCTTTGGTAAGAGTGATTGAGAAGCTCAAAGCCTCACAATTTGTTATAACACATAGTAAAGGGCGTTCCTTTTTGTACGGTCGAGTATGACACCTCAATCTTTTGTTCATTTATTTTTTTCTGAAAAGCTTCATTGCTTGCCTTTATTCGTTCTTCCTTTCTCTACCTTGATTTTTTGCGATCTCACTGCTCTGCATTATAATGTGTTGGATGTTAAAGCAATTGTGTCACAGTTAATAAGCCACGCTTCGTCAATATTCTGCAAATGTGACTTTTTATCCCAGATGAAGCAGAGCAAAAATGCTGAGAGAATTCTGTGACATTCCCTTGAAGCTTTGGGGAGCTTACTGACGTCTGTCATACTACCTTATGTAAATATCCTGTTTGCTGTAATAGCCACTCTTGCTTTTGTCCTTTTGAAGCAATAAGTAATATTCAGAACGAGAAAATGCATTGTCAGTTCCGATTGTCACATTATTCTTTCATGAAGGGCCGTACATGAAAATGACTAAGCAATATGTATGATCAACAGTTTATTCTATGCGTGCAACTTTTGGCTGTTCCCTGGGCTTTATAGCAGGGTTCATTATTCTAAGGCTGAAATAATACGAAAAAATGTTCGTTTATGTGCATTTTAAACTTACACCATGTTCTTCATCATTTGGCAAACCGACCCAAAATAAAAAGGTCTTTAAAAAAATGGCAGTTCCACGAGACTGAAGGGATGATGTTTTGAAAGGAGGCTGATCATGACCTTCAAAGGGGTCCAGCCAGTTGATCACTTCATCGTCCTGGAGAGATCTAAGCAAATCCTATCTGTATTAAGATTTATAAAACTTAGAATATGCTCTGTATAGGTAGTTGGAATGTAGCCGTAAACAGGAATGTTTGTCAATTCCACCTAGCCAGTCACTTGGCGTTGGAAATGTAAAGTAGGGTCGATGGGTATTTTCCTTGTGACATTAGCCAGCCACAGACCATTTCTGGGAAGCATCCCAAGCAAAAGTAGAAAGCAGTTTTGTTATAATGGTGAACAGTTTGTTTAAAAATGGAGATGGGAAATTCTGTTTATAGTTATTCGTTTCTCGTTAAGTGTTAAGGGGTCTTCTACGAACATGGTCCATTTTTTGGCAGACTATTCAAATAAAACCTCAGTCTGATCTTCGGGGGTTAAGTTTCACGGTAAATTGCTATATGTTATATCTTTAATATTGTCCAATTTGAAAGGTGGTATTTTTGTCGAATTTGTATTGTTTACACTCTAAGGTATTCATTTATTATTTATAACTGTCACAAATTTCGGAACACAGCGTTGGCCATCAATGCCACCGAGGATAATGATCTCTTGATCGGAATTTGATCTGTGCGGCTCTTTACAGGTCTTGGTCTCCTCGGTTTCTCAACTAGAAGATATAAACCCAAATTAAACCAGTTCTAAAATCAACAGTGAATTTTTAGTCCACCGTTTTGTTTATCAGATAAGTGGACTTTCTCCGTTGTTTTTGACTCCCGTGGAGAGAAATGATATTTGATTCCAGCTCACAAAATCAAGGTAGTGTATAAATTAAAGCTCGAAAAGGGTGAGTCATGATGTCTTTTGATAATCTGCCAGATTATACAAAACTTTAAATATATATATATCAAATAATATAGTATAGAAAGAACAAACAAAATTGATATACGTGTCCTAGTCTGCCTTTCCATATATCTAAGAAATTGTTGTCTGCTCGAAATGCCTGATCATAGTTATATGAAACGATCTTAGATGAAACGATGAGGCAGAGAATTACCATTTCAAGAAACTTAAACGGGCATTGCCTTTTTTGACTTATGAGCACTGGATTGTTCATAGAATAAATCTTGTCTACTATGGACACAGTTAGCTTGTGTAATCTTGCACTTCCTGTCAATATTTCAATTTTCAGAATAGAACATTAAGCAATGCCCCTTCTGACTGTCATCTGTTCTGTGGATTTTAGATGGCTGAAAATATTGATATAAATATAAGTTCACGCAAACAAGTCTTAACTTTAGTTGAATCGGGAATACACGCCGCGGATACAGAGTGTTGGTGTAGACAATACTTGACTGTATAACATATGGATGATATTGCCCATCAAACCTTTTTTTGGCTGCCCTTCCGTCAGGCAGTTTTTAATACATGGCCATAAATGTTTGTTTGTGACAGACCTGTTTGACAGTCGAATCACCCTTTAAGAATAGGTTTTGCATGCACCGTCTAAAACTTTAGGTGTGAAATTTTAATAGGATTTCTATCTGTCTTTTCGCTAAGAATTTCAAAAAAAGTTGCTTGGATGTTCCGCGTGTGACGGTAGGGGCCTCTCTAAAATCCTCCCCATCTCGAACTCGGAAATGGTGTCCCCATCCAAGCTATTTTATGGATTTTTTGACAATAAGCTACGCGATTAAATCTACAGGTTTCACTTTCTTAATAACTGGACAAACTAACAGTGGTGAACGCATGTTCTGGTTCACTTTTTCAGCTAGTCTGAAGAAACTCTTCCGTTAGTGATCATAGTTCTTCTCGAAGCAAGGTGGACGCCATTTTTGACCATTTTTGACAATTAGACGAACATTTACGTGCCTGAAATGCTGGGTCTGACCCTTGGATATCTAAGATTTTGACGACAAAAAACGCAAATGGGTGTGTGTCAGTTGAGTAATATACTAGAAAACGACTGAAACTGACTTCGGTTGGTCGACTGAAGTTGGAAAACGCAGTCATGGCGGTGATTATTTTTAATATTAACAGCTTTTGTGATATTTTTTGGATACAGGTTAAACACTCCTGTTTATTCTTAGAATTTTACTGAACCAGCAATTGAAATTTGTCAGTTCATTAGAAAGTCAGAAACTGTCTGAAATTTTGGGCTAAACAGGGTCTTGTATCGAGAGGGTCTAATTGGCTAGTTCTAGCTCCTACTTGCGGGTTGTTACTGTAAAGGGTAGTATTTTATCCTATACTAACTTTATACAGCGTCTTTAAAAGTTTGAGGTCAAAGTATTGTCATTCAAATTAGTTTGCTAAGGCCTAAGGGAACGCACACAGATTTGGAAGCTTTAAACTTCTAAATTTTTATTTGAAAATGAAAGAACGTGTATGGACACTTATAGAGGCCCTTACACGCTTGCATTTGACATTAAAGGGTTTTCGCTCAACTGAATATCAGCAGAAAAATCTTATGATCTTGGGTGCAACGTGGAACGTCTCACTAGTGGGAACCTGTATTTTTTAATGTAGTCTCAACCAAGTCACGTGAAAGAGGCAATTCACGTGAACGACTTACAATCTACGTGATTGCAGTCAAGATTCTCAAGGTATTACTGATTGAGATAGCAAGCTACAATTAAATGCACTGTAGGTGGGTTTTAAGCTATTGGCTGCGACAATTATAATAAAAAATCACAACTTATGTGTTTGAGGTAGTATCATTTACGATCTGTACTGAAGTGGAATGTGTTTCTACCCCCTTAAATTTGCCAGTCTTTTCCCTTGACAGAGACAAGAATAGAATGTGTAAATGTTTTAGAAACCCCAATGTTTTTTTCGAAAACGACGGCATTGTCCTTTTTCTATGAAGATATAACAAATAAATTTTACCAAAGAGAAATTATTACCAAATAAAAACGAATTACTGGGGCTTTTACCAATTAAATGTTTGACCAAATTGTAATGACTTATTCGGTTTGCAGAAAATGAAGACGTCTACTGAAACATTTTTAAAAATCACGAACTATTAAAACTCGTTTAGGCAAACTTCTAGTCATTACACTTTGCGTGACCTGTGGGTGCATATGTTTGACTGAAATCCTCTGAATCCTACTTGACTGAATTTAAAAAAGGGGGCATTTAGCAGCACTCTAACTGCAACATGCTGTATTGTGGTTTTCAAGTTTTATCTAATATTTTGAGCTTGGACATGAAGCCCTTTAATATGACATTCATACAGAGTTGGCATTTGTAGTCATCAAGCATTATCGAACTGGTAGATGGCTTGCTTGCATGACAAGATTTGAGCTGTCAGAGCAAAAGTGAAGCGTCAGTATTTTTTTCTAAGACTTGTTTTTGTTACGACAGGTGGCTCCGACCTTTGAGTAAAGAGCTGAAATGTTAGCTGATTAGCTCTTCAAAGCCTGTCAGCTCAATAAATAAGTTTAGTTATGGTGGATCTAGTTTGAACAACGTACTTTCAAACAGCTTAACTCNAAAAATTACCGACTTCTTTTTTTTATGTATTGACGTGTTTGACTTAAAGAAAACACATCTTCTATTTTGAAATGGAGAAATATCTTGCTGTCGAAAACGGTAGTTCCTGTTCTGACGTTTTTGACTTCGCATTGTGAACCAAGTTCTTGGACTGAAATGAAGAGCGTCTTCCTAATTTTTCCCCTTTAAGCACTAAATTATTTGAGATTTATTGTAGGTTTTTCAATATTTCCTCCATAAATAATCTATGTCAGTACAACTCCCTTTATATATGTTTTTAAATAATATTTTAAGATGCAGAAATTGAAACTATGTAGCATATAGGTCCATGCATAGATGTTGCCATTTTAACGGAAGATATTCCGGGTAAGTTTCCTGTGCCAACTGTTAGCTTTACTGCACAGGGAGGCTGCTTAAGCGAATCAGTAGGAGGGCAAAAATTTATTAAGCTTACGTGTTTCCTTAAAAAGTATTTGAATACTAATTTCATGTGATATTCTCTTGGTATAGATCCAGCTATTAAGTTTGGGCGTAGAACCCTTGAGTGTGACATCATTTTGTAAGTCCTTGAGCTATACTGTCTTTAACATTGTTTATCTAATCACTTACAATGAATCACTTTGGCAGCATGGATGGAACCTGTGACTTATCAAATAGAAGTCATCGGGCAGTACCTTTGTTTTTTTTTATTTTTTTATTTTTTTTATATAGTTTTTTCTTTGTGTAATTTCGTTATCTACAACTTGGTTAGACTGTGTGTGAAAAACGTCGAGTCTAGGTGACACTATCCTGCTGAATAATTCTAACCACTGGCCATCATCATGACTTCCAACGTCAGTTTGTCATTAAAATTCGGAAGTGTGCTTTCAACAGTAAACAGCAAACCATTGCCTTCTTATGGCATTGTTCGAACTTTAGCCCCCTGTATCAGGGAGGTAATGGGTTAGACGGAGAACATGAAATTTTCTCGTGACTACAACGAGAAAATAGAAATTAATTGTTGAATCAATTTTAGGTCAAAAATTGGGGGCCAGTTTAAACACGCCCCATTTCCATACATTCCCCAATATAATCGCGTGCCCACAAACAACTCAAACTAGTCTTCACGCTGACACCTATGGAGCTGTTGTAAAGAAAACAGTCCATTGTACTTACTGCCTACGTATTTTTTTCTTTTTGTTTTAGAAGAAAGGCCTGTTTCATCCATAGGCGTCTGCCAAAATGCAGCCTTTTCGAAGGGAAAGACACAACAAGCCCCACAAGTGCAGGAGCTGCCCCAAGTCGTTCAAGAGTTCTAATGGTTTGAAATACCATTTGGATAAGGTTCACATTGATGAGAAAATCAAGATGGAGACTGAATGTGCAGAAGGTACAAAAAACATTTTCGGCAGCTCTTTATTTTTAAGCATAACAAGCCGGGTTTTTTATACTTTGATCTCAGCAAAGGTAGTGTCCTTACACCAGCGATTGTCACTGATAAACCCAGAGCATACACTAAGCTACAGTTCGTAAAGTGCCTCGATCAAAACTAAGAAAACTAAAACTGCAGGTATAGCTTTTTATAGCTGCCAATTCTCAAGCTTACTTTCTAACGGTATAACCTGCCGCCAGTTTGTTCCTAGTTCGACTTCTCATCCGCCTGATAAGGGCGGATCCTTATCGCACACAGCAGACAGCTGATCAGTGTCTCTTTCCTAACTGCGGTTAGTTCGCTTGTCATCAATTCAGTAAAATAATGGTTAAGTCATGATACAGTTTATAATTGTTAACTAGTGATATTTTAAATGGCTTATAAGTTTATCAAGATCTAGATATATAAATCATCAAGGTATTCTGCCTTGCGTTTGTTGCTTTTCGGTCATATTCCTAAAGCTTCGAATGAGGTAGTTTGCTTCAATTTCGTGATGACCAGTTTTTGGTGACTAAGATTTCCCAAACAATACTTTTGAACATGTTTTCACACCTTTAGATTTTAAAAGATACCAGAGATGTCACTCCCTTCTAGACCGAGACTTCAGCTGATAAGATCTATCAGTGACGAGACAAAGTGCCAAACAAAAAAAATATAATAATAGTAATAAAAAAAAGCATTTGCAAAGTGTCTCAGAATTGTCCCTCCAGCGCTAGTATAAATCAAACGCTGCTTTTTTGTTGTCCTGTGTTTTATTTAGTTTTCTTTTGTTTTGCCTCTTTTTTAATCATTGTATTAGATTGTATTTCGACGAGTCCGTTGGCTCTCTTTTCTATTGTTTAATCACAATTATAAAATTCAATAAAAAACTAGTCACAATCAACTTTGAGAGCAGTAAGTACAAAAAAGATTTTCATCTTTCTCCTCCAAATATTTTGTTAGTGAGCCATGTAAACAACTCAAGGAAATTTTGAACACGCCCTCGATTGTGCAATAAAAGGAATTACTCATGTTTCCGCGCTCCTTGGAGGACTACGCTTGATATTTTTAGGTGATAAAATGGCTATTTTTGGTTATCAGATCGTAAGGTCTAGTTCAAACTATATCTACTCGTGAAGCGAAAGTACCGGCCCACAAACATTTCTTTCAAAGGCCATTGGTGAGCTTGCCAAGTTTAGGATCCCTACAGCGATAGTCTCATGCCAAGTGTTGAGATGTGCTGTGGTTAATCTTTAGCCAAGCTTTAAGGGGAATTTCCCTGTTATTTCATTTCTTATGAGTTTTGGTGATTCAGATGGTGTTTATCGTATTTATTAACCCACAGATGATGAATATGCCCGGGCCAGACAATTTAGTGGTGGCTGTGAGGGATGTTTCTTTTTGTCATCCAGTGCCCATTTATCTGTCACGCGCCTTTTGGGTTTTTGTTCGCTTTGAAAAGGAACTCGTTCAAAAAAGCTCGAACTAATGGTTCAATTTTTTTTGGCTTTTGTTGGTGTTGTTTCCAATCTGTAATCCCCATTAGGAAGAAAAAAAAAAACAATGAAAAGGAATAAACAGTTGGTAATACTAAATTCAACAATCTTCCGAGAAGAAGATGAACGCCATGAGTATGATTTTTAGCTTAAAATTCATAACCTTATTTAAGCTTGAGACAACTTACCAATGACACGGTCAGTTTCTGAAAGAATGTTAGTCATTTGTTTTTATTGTCTTTCCTTCTTTCTTTCTTTTTTGTTTGTTTGTTTTGTTCTCTCTCTCCCTCTCCGTTAATAGCTTCGCCATTGTTGAACTTTGCTATCCGGAAAGAATCATTTAATATAATTCAGTCTTTTGACAGCTGACTTAAAGGCACTTAAAAGCATCTAAAGGCCATCTTTGAGTGTGATTATTCCAGCTCACAAATGTTGTAAATGTAAAGTCAAGTAGAGAAGAGTTTATTAAGCTTTTAATTGAGTCACTGGACGCAGGGGTGACCCCGTCCTCCTTATCATGCGATAATGTTCTTTAGCACTAAATTTCACCCATTTTACCAACTTAGCTGAGTTTTGCGAAAGTAATGGTTGGAGTGAATTTATTAATTAAGAAGTGCCTCTGTTTTCTAACAAAGTATTAGTACGCTTCCCGAAATTACAATAGGTGAGAAGATCCCTACGTCCGTTCAGGAAAAGAATTTCCCTGAGATGAAAACTTTCACCTTTTTCTCGAGCTCCACTTCTCCTGGCGCGTACTCGCTAGCAGATCGACTACGATTATATTCGATGACTTTGGCCGCTTAGGACTCAAGGCTTTCAGTTAAAAAAACACGATTGAGAAAGATTTGTTTGCAAATCCCTGATATGTCTCTACATGCAGAGATCTTTACTTTTTTATTCCTTTGTTTACTTCAGACTTAAAGGCACTTTCTACACAACACAACACTTTTTCCACAACTTGTCTCAATCCCATCTCAGAGTTTTTAGCAACACAGTGACAAATGGAAAAAAGAATAGTTATTATAACAAAATAGAATGAAAGAAAAGAGAGAAAATGTTGCTGCATTTGTTCATGTTGATCTTTTTTACTTAGTTCTCGACACGTTCATTATTGTGGTGTTTTGTCAAAATATTTGTATGTCTATCAAATTTATAGACACATTCTTGGATCTCTGATTTCGTCTTGTTCGACATTTCTTAAGGGATTAAGCATCCGACCTGTTTATCATGCGGGATACAAAGAAGGGGAATTAATATAAACAGCTTCTTAATGGTGTCGAATTTTTGTTTTCTACGCAGAAAAACCGAGAGGAATGCAAAACAAACCTCGGTCTATTCCTCCTGCTTTGGACTTGTCTCCAGAGGTCAACCTGCTCAAAGAATTTGCTGTCATTGCCACAAGTCCTCAGAGCCCATTAGTGCAAGAGGTCAGCGGTGAAAGCATGGATGTCAGGTGCAGCGATGGCGATATTTCCCATCCTCAGGTAACAAACCCAAAGCAAATGGTATGTCGTCTTCATTAAGTAGCTGTGTTGAAATTTGGCACAAACGCAGTGAATTCTGAGGAATATTTTTGGTCGTACATTTCTTCTCTTGGATACTGAGAAGTTTTCCTTATAAAGAGTGTGCAACTCTGATATTTATTGACAGACTCATTTGCGCAAAGAATAACTTAAGTATGCTTATTTAAAGTAAATAGGAAATCAGTGATTTTTAGTAATCTAGCTTTTCATTCCCTTTGATACTGGGGACTATGCTCAAATAACAGTGAATAACTATTATATTAGTCGATAGTACCATTTTCGCAAAGATCATACGGGCTAAAGTACGTTTCTGTAAACTGAATAAAATATAATGAAAATGACTAGGGGGTAGATGGGAAGAAGGGAAGATTGAGCAAATGTCTTACAAGTCGTAAGTGCCACTTTCGCCAATCGCTCCGTCAAGCACCCCGGAGGGGCACCGTAAATCCTCTAGTAAGCCAGCTTCAGAGCCCGTTACTCATTTCTTACCATCATCTTGCTAGGATTTTCAACCCAGAGAATGGCCATGTGTCTCACAGTACATCCCAGATTCTCCAACGCAGACACTATTGCAAGCCTTGTCTGCGGCGAAATGGCGATGCTTTTTGGCCGCGACCCGGATAAATTTCCCAGATGAAGACGGATGGACCTGGAAAACCGTAGATGACATTGGGGTGGAGGGAATATCCGAGGATCTCTTCCAACATGGACTTCGGGTGGTCGGTATGGAAAGGATTAGCAGAAGACATGACGAAAACAGCGTATGTTGTCTTTTTTTATTGGAATTTTGTAAAAAAAAATGTTTTCATTTCGTAAAAAAGCTAGTGGGAAGTGTCTTCAGTAGTGAATTTTGAAGTGCTACACTATCATGGGCGGATTTAGGGGTTGGCTGAGGGGACCGTTGCCGCCCCTTTGCCTGTCAAATTTTTTATTATGTTTGAAGACTTCTAAGTAAAATAAATAGTATCTATGTAGCTGGTAAGCGTCCGCCGCTTTCTGAATTTTCTGGATCCACCCCTGTACTTCTAATTATTTCCTTCAAGAACTCGAATTTAACCCGTAAAATGGTTATTGTGTTACGTGTCTCAATATCACATTAACATTATGGTCAATTGTGCAGAAAAATCACCGAGTTGTTCCTTTTCATTTGCTTTATTTTCAGGATGAGTTTATTGTATCTTTCCAATCGTGCAACAACGAGCAGACGAGCCTACAGGCTGAGATAACCACTGACCATCCATTCTACGTTAAAGGGAAAGATGGGGAATTTTGGGCGTCACTCAATCCTTGCTCAAGCGAGTTACACCACGGAATAAGCTGTCAGCCGCTTGAATGCGGTGATGTTTGTATGTTGCCGTATGGTCGGGATGTTGTCGGATACCTTAGTGGGACGCAGTGGGATACCGACAAAACCTCGTAAGTACTGGCACCCGAAACGCAATTCCCCTTTCACATATACCTTATGTCTTACAGTATTGTCTTATTTCCTCTCTTTGTGTAGTATAGAATAACGTTCTTGCCCGTCTTGGCATGTCTTCCCTATTCGAGAAACTAGTAGGGGAATGGGTACAAGCCAGGAGCCCATAATTGGGCCCATTATGGGCTCCTGGTACAAGCTGTGGGCGCTACGATTTCTGGGATCATTTGGGTGGGCAAGCGTTACTTATGATTGGTTAATAGTTGCCTTGAAGACCATCGAACAATCATAACTAACGCTTGTCTTGTCCACCCGAAGGATCCTAGAAGTCACTGTGCCCAAAGCTTGCACCCATTCTCCCTATAGCAGTTTCTGAACTGGGAAGTTTACGAGATGGATGTCACGAAACTGATCAATCACAACTTATTTTCAGGTCTGAGTTCACCGCGATGTCAACCGCTGCACTGACGCTGAGCTGTATGGCCAAGGTTTGTAAGTCTTTTAAGTTTTGGTGAGGGTTAACGCAAGGGCCATAATACACCCACATTTAGCGAATACATGTACATGATAAGTTTATTTCTTTGTGTTCTCAAGGAACGCAAAATATCTTTCATGACATTTTATGCCAACTTTTATCCTTAAGGTTCTCTATAGTACCCTTCTTTCAACCTGACACCTCGTGACTACAGCATTTGAGACAATTTTGGTACCAATGTTAGGTTTTAAATTTATTTCAAATATAAAAGGATAAACAAGAGCACAGACATCGCCGAAGCAAGCTTCTCTCTGAGTCACGATGTCCCGGAAGCATAATGAAAAGAAGCAGCATGCAACAGTTCTCTAAGAGACCTATGAATGCCTTCATGCTATTTGCCAAGCGCTTTCGAGTGGAAATCACTCAAGCCCATCCTGGAAAAGACAACAGGTAAGAAATTTGGTGGGCGCAAATCCCAAGGTCTCTTTAACAAAACAATTATCATATCCTACTGTCATTATTATTATTATTATTATTATTATTATTGCTCCAGTGAGAAATCTGACTGAAAGTAAAGTTTTCCAAAATTGGTTTACATTTTGGGTAACTGGACAACTGGAAAGACCTCCTGGCCAAACACCGTTTACTTTGACTTGAAATACGAGATCAAACGAATTTGTAGTTGTCGATCAGTTTAAGTCATCCCAATAGTAGTTGGTGTACTGGGAGCAGTATCGAGAGGATTTGGAGGGTGGCTGAGACAGTTGGGAATGCCACATTGCATGGAACGTTTATCGCGAGGACCTCACTGGTGCGCTGCATACTTAATCATATTAAGGACAGAACAGATGACACGGAGTATCCTAGGTCACAGGCTGTGACCCGATACTCTGCAACATATCTTGCATAACGAAATGATAGACCTATAATAATGATAATTATAATGATAATGATAATAATATACTAATAACGACATCGATAATATGTTAAAAAGACGAAAAATAAAAAAAGAAAATTAAATAAAGAAATCTGGGGTGGCTTGGTTATACTTTTGACATTGTGTAAAAACCTGAAGTGTAAACTCTTTTATCAGAGCAATTAGTGTGATCCTTGGTGACAAGTGGAAAGCAATGAAGCAAGAAGATCGCAAAGAATATGTGATACAAGCAAAGCTCTTGGCAGATGAACACAAAAGAGTTAATCCAGACTGCTGGAAAAGGAAACGAAACTCGGAGGTAACTGGCGTTCAATTCCATTAGTATAGGATTTGTAGGCACCAACTAAAACTGAGACCAAGTTGCTAGAGGACATTTGCCTTGTGCCCTCGCCCCTTCCCTCCCCCCCAAAATCAATTAACAATTAATGAATAAGGCTGAGTATCTTATGAAGAATTATGGAGATCGAGGAGGGTGTTATCCGTCGAGGCCGTAGGCCGAGGCGGATAACACCCTCCGAGATCTCCATAATTCTTCATATGATACGAAAGCCGAACTCAATAATTGTTTTATTATTCATTCAAAATAATTCCTAGATTAAAAACATGGCTAAAACATGCTTACCTCCATCGATCCATCGATGTTAAGTTTATCTTCGATAGTGCACGTTTAGGTTTGTCCAGCTCCGCAAATATCCTCTAAATAGCAGATGTCGTCCTTCGAGTTGTCTTCTTGCTGTTCTTGCCATGTTTTTAGCTATTTTTCGCCTAGTTCTTACTCTTGAAACGAGTGAAATGTCCGCCATTTTTCAAGTTCACAATCAAAACAACTCAACCTCGTCCCCAGGTCTTCGCGGTTAACGGTGCCTTAACCAGTGAAAACGCTGCATTTTCGACGTCATTTCCTCGTTCCGTGGGATGCCTGTGGCACTCCCACGGTAAAAATCCGGTTCGGTTGTACCCAAAATTGCAAAGCTAGCCAATAGGATTGCGTAAAATCTTTATCGATTATCTCTTCTTGCAAGCCGACCAATCAGATTGTACAAAATCTGTATCGATTTTTAATCGATTTGCTTCCTCTGAAGAACGTATCAGAACGTTCCTTGCCAAAGTTTTCCCACTCGTGGTTTAGGATGGTTTGTTAACCAGCGAAATCCTTCGGGATACTGGCAAGTCACGAAAGGCGACCTAAGCCAAATTATTTCTTCCCTTCATGATTCTTTTTTGTTTAGGTCTAGCTTTTTCATAAGGTTTTAGTAGCGTCTGGTTGCGGGCCGTGATTTCCGATAGATTTTTCTATTCGGAGTTCGCCAGTTTTTGCCGAGCACAGCTAGAGTTCAGTTTTTTTCTTTTCTTATCGAAAACACCTTGACGATGGGAGGTTAAATCGCGTAAATTTCAACTCGTACCCTTGACGATTGGCGGTGAAATCGCGAAAATATCGTCCTTGTCGATCGACCACTCGCTTTCGGCATGGATTGGACTTCTGGATGGGACACGGATCAGGACCTTAGTAAACTTGTTATACCTTGGAATCAGGGATAATCATTGGGGGAACTCTGTTAACTTTGAGACCTTGGAAACACATTGCAATTAATTTTTAACCGTTTCAAGAGCATCTTGGAATATTAAACTTTCATCTTGGATTAAAACATTGGAACTTTATCGAACTTTGTAACCCTGGGTTCGACCCTGGATAAAGCAAGCGGATGTTTTGTTTTGTTTTGTTTTGTGCCATTAACCAAAAACTACAATGTTTATTTCTCTTTGAAAAAGTTACCTTTAGCAACTTACTACCAAGATATGACGTATCTTTATACATATAGTTCCTGTTCAGGTTAATCAGAGAGCATTATGCGCATGTTCTGCATTACTTGTTTCCGTTAACATTCCAATTTAAGTTACACGGGTAAACCTTGTTTTGATGCAAAATAACTTCTTTTTCTTATCCAAATCGTGCTACGAAAATAACTACATAGCGATGGATCAAAACAAGATCAACTCCATCCTTGCGACCACTGTCGAAAGGGGTAGGGGATAGTGAGGAAGCAAAAAGGGGATGTGGATTGGGGGAAAATAGTAGCCTGCCACGCAGGCTACTATAAATTCAGTCATAAGCACATTAAACCAACCCATACAGGTAACCTACTCATCGATGCTCATAACATGAAACATCTTTCCAGTTTCCTAATTTTTCCAAATGCAGATAGAACGCCATTATGCTTCCATAGACCAACGCATCCCACGGAAACGACTTTAGGCGTCTTGTTAAACACAAAATTCTTCCAAATTTGGTCATCAGTAACTGGTTATGGTGAATTAAACGTGTACTTTTAGCCAATCAGAATCGGGAAAATATTTTGAATGAATAATAATTATAATTATAAAATAATCGATTTATTAAATAACCAGACGTGTGATTTAATTAGCAAATAAACCTACCGTAATCTTGAACAGATATAAATAAATCTTTCTATTGACTCTCTTTGCCTTACTTTTCTTTAGAGAACTTTTCACTTGTGCTTTCGTCCCTCCTCTCCCTCAACAAATTAGTATAGGTAATAGCATGATTAGTAGTGATATTTGGCATAAACACCACGAGTGATATTTCGAAATTGTTATATAAATTTGAGACAATTTTGAAATATCACTCGTGGTATTTAATATGCAAAATATTACCAACAAATCATGCTATTATTTGTTTATACTACTACCCACAAACGGTTTGTAATTTTCACATGTAGGTATTTCAATTAAGCTGAAATACCACTGCTCTGAGCCAATCAAATTGCAGAAATTTCTCATGTAGTAGTATAAATTAATTAATTAATTTATTTATTAATTTATTGAATAACCAGACGTGTGATTTAGCATATAAAGAACCTACCCTAATCTTGATATAAATAAATCTTTCTATTGACTCCCTTTGCCTTACCTTTCTTTAGAGGACTTTTTCTCTCCTCAAACCAATTATGTAATTGATTATGATAATTAATTAATCAATTTATCAAATAACCAGACGTTTGAAGAAGCCTTGAATAAACCTACAATGATGTGGATATGTGTTAAATCTTTTTGCCTTTAGCTTTTTTGTTTTTCTTTCAGGGGTCATCCAAGATAAGTTACCGACGGCCATAAAGGAGTACTTTCTTTTTTGATCTTTAGATGATAATATATATTTTTTCCTAGATGTTTTGTAATATATTATATTGTATATTTTCGCTAGCCCAACTGTATTTTGTTTTTTCGTATGAGAAAATGATGCAAGTCATACTATGTATGGCGTATTTAATGGCATTCTAAGGTGTAAATAGTTTAACTTAGTTGTGAAATGCTTTTATTTGGGTAATGATTTCTATAGAAGAACGAAAAATAAGTTATTAGTTAAACATGTGAATTGCAGCAACTTAAAGTAAAAGCAAAGGCTCTAAAGAATGTATCGCTTGTCTTTGATTCTTTGTATCTTTTTAAGTCATTCCCTTTTCCGAAAAACCACAATCTAAGAAAAAAAAAGTGATGTAGCTTATCTACTATACGATAACAACCTTTCCAGCATGGAAAACAAAGGCTGAAATAGAACACTTCAGCCTTGAAAAACTACTAAACAAGTGACTTGAAGTCCAAACAAGCAACACTGATAGTCTTTAAAAGTCGCAAGGTCTTTTCAAAATCTCAGCCTTGGATTTATTCTTAAGATATTCTTGAAATTTCGCAAATTTCAGCCTCAATATTCTTGTAAAAGATATTCTTATAAAATGAAAAGAGTGTATTGAGAATGCTTGAACTGTTGAACTCATCTCCTCAGAACAGGTAAATATTTTTGAACAATGATTTCTATATTAATGAATCCATTAGCAGTCAGTCTACAAGGGAGGGTTACACGGGTCAACGACCCCGCGTGTGGGGTTCCACATTAGCCTGTAGCTTTCATTGTCAATTCAAGCGCTAATAAAGATCGATTATTGATCTATAAATCCAGAGATAAATTACAACTCAAATAGATTGGCAGAAACTCTTAATTCTCACAATACAACACTGTTAGTCGGGTGGGCATGGTAGTCTGGCATTGATCCCTTGTTTTCCGTTAAATTTATGTTAATATTGCGTGCGAGGAACTGTATTATGACTGTCCACGTAGTAAACACAAACTCATGCTAATTTGTCACGATCAAAATTGCGCAAGCAAACAATGGTACAAAGATCAAACCAGATGATAAAGGTAGCCAGCCGTCCCTCAGTTATTCAGTCTTGAAATGATGAAAAGATGCGCAATAATAGCAAATAATTTTCACTATTTTTTTCTTCTTGATATAAATTCATATTACACCTGGAAGTAGAACTGCAAGAGCGCAATATTATACTTCAGGACGTAATAAGGATAATTCGCCTTAAACAATACAAAGAATATTAATCAGTTTTGCGGAAGTTAATAACTTTTGGTTTCGAAAACGACGACAAACATTTTCCGCCATTTTTTACCTTTTTTGCGTTTTGCTACGGAATGACGTTTTAAAGTAAACACAAGAACATTGTTCAATTCATTATATGACTTCACTTGTTAAGTGAAAAGTTAAATTCCTTACAAATTGTATTGTGTTTCACTCCAGTATACAGTTCGTGAGCGGAATGATTTGTTTGGGGTCAAAATCCAGAGTTGTGGCCATTCTAGAAAACAATATGTCGCCGCTCTGTGTTTTAAGCATTCTATTTTTATCACTCTAAACATAGTTCAGATTTCATTAAGAAATTGATTGTAATTTGAGACACTCAAAGATACCTTAGAGATTGACTCCTTATCTTCATCTTCTTGAAGTCGAAATTGGAGAAGAAAATAACACTAAATTTCATTTTTTGAAATACTGAATATCGGCCTTGCCAAATTTCGATTGCATGGAGATATTTCCTTCAAATAGCCCATACAAAAGGCCTCCTCTTGTCAGATCTATAATGGTAATTGAATTGAGTGGAGAGGTCAGTGGAGTGCATTTGGTCTGAAATCACACGCGTGATTTCAAAATCGGACGAGCGAGTAGTGTGAGTTCGATTTGAAATCACAAGTCTGATTTGAGATCAAAATTGCATGACACGAAGTTCAATTACCACTTTATTACAGCCAAATTCAGCCAGTACCAAGTAGCCGGTTTGTTGAAAAGCGGAAACAAAAAAGCTTTTCACATCTTTTACAACATTATTAATTAGAAAAAAAGGCTATTACATCTCATTTTGTATTTGAAACAGAACTCATGAGGAGCCGCATAAAGTCCCTTCACTAATTATCTTGTATTGTATTGATTTCATTGATTTTATCTTTCTTTATTTTTATCA